CTCTAAGTCAGCTCGTGATGCTCTAAGTCAGCTCGTGTTGCTCTAAGTCAGCTCGTGTTGCTCTAAGTCAGCTCGTGTTGCTCTAAGTCAACTCGTGTTGCTCTAAGTCAGCTCGTGTTGCTCTAAGTCAACTCGTGTTGCTCTAAGTCAACTCGTGTTGCTCTAAGTCAACTCGTGATGCTCTAAGTCAACTCGTGTTGCTTTAAGTCAACTCGTGTTGCTCTAAGTCAGCTCGTGTTGCTCTAAGCCAGCTCGTGTTGCTCTAAGTCAGCTCGTGTTGCTCTAAGTCAACTCGTGTTGCTCTAAGTCAACTCGTGTTGCTCTAAGTCAGCTCGTGTTGCTCTAAGTCAGCTCGTGTTGCTCTAAGTCAACTCGTGATGCTCTAAGTCAACTCGTGTTGCTCTAAGTCAACTCGTGTTGCTCTAAGCCAGCTCGTGTTGCTCTAAGTCAACTCGTGTTGCTCTAAGCCAGCTCGTGTTGCTCTAAGTCAACTCGTGTTGCTCTAAGTCAACTCGTGTTGCTCTAAGCCAACTCGTGTTGCTCTAGGTCAGCTCGTGTTGCTCTAAGCCAACTCGTGTTGCTCTACGTCAGCTCGTGTTGCTCTAAGTCAGCTCGTGTTGCTCTAAGTCAGCTCGTGTTGCTCTAAGTCAGCTCGTGTTGCTCTAAGTCAACTCGCGTTGCTCTAAGTCAACTCGTGTTGCTCTAAGTCAGCTCGTGATGCTCTAAGTCAGCTCGTGTTGCTCTAAGCCAGCTCGTGTTGCTCTAAGCCAGCTCGTGTTGCTCTAAGTCAACTCGTGTTGCTCTAAGCCAGCTCGTGTTGCTCTAAGTCAGCTCGTGTTGTTCTAAGTCAACTCGTGTTGCTCTAAGTCAACTCGTGATGCTCTAAGTCAACTCGTGTTGCTTTAAGCCAGCTCGTGTTGCTCTAAGTCAACTCGTGTTGCTCTAAGTCTACTCGTGTTGCTCTTAGTCAGCTCGTGTTGCTCTAAGTCAACTCATGTTGCTCTAAGTCAACTCGTGTTGCTCTAAGTCAACTCGTGTTGCTATAAGCCAGCTCGTGTTGCTCTAAGTCAACTCGTGTTGCTCTAAGTCAGCTCGTGTTGCTCTAAGCCAGCTCGTGTTGCTCTAAGTCAACTCGTGTTGCTCTAAGTCTACTCGTGTTGCTATAAGTCAGCTCGTGTTGCTCTAAGCCAGCTCGTGTTGCTCTAAGTCTACTCGTGTTGCTCTAAGTCAGCTCGTGTTGCTCTAAGTCAACTCGTGATGCTCTAAGTCAACTCATGTTGCTCTAAGTCAACTCGTGTTGCTCTAAGTCTACTCGTGTTGCTCTAAGTCAGCTCGTGTTGCTCTAAGTCAACTCGTGTTGCTCTAAGCCAGCTCGTGTTGCTCTAAGTCAACTCGTGTTGCTCTAAGTCAACTCGTGTTGCTCTAAGTCAGCTCGTGTTGCTCTAAGTCAACTCGTGTTGCTCTAAGTCAGCTCGTGTTGCTCTAAGTCAACTCGTGTTGCTCTAAGTCAACTCGTGTTGCTCTAAGTCAGCTCGTGTTGCTCTAAGTCTACTCGTGTTGCTATAAGTCAGCTCGTGTTGCTCTAAGTCTACTCGTGTTGCTCTAAGTCAACTCGTGTTGCTCTAAGTCAGCTCGTGTTGCTCCCCACGTCAGTTGGGCGCAGCGCTGCATCACAAAACAAGCCACAGCAAGTTTTATTTCAGTTTCATACGAAATAAAAAAAATTAACAAAAGCGACTTCACAGATGGCGGCAACGCAATCAGGGGGGAGGAGGAATCTGGCTCTAGAATCCGTCGCTGTATGGGCCGGTCGATTTCGCGGACGCTCTTGTGCCCGGTGGAGCTTTTGATTAAGGGAAATGTGGCCTCCAGTGACCTTGAGCAATCAAGGAGCTGGCGCCTGACGAGCCAAAGACCTCCCCGTGCACTCTCTAATCCCGACACGGGCCCCGGCCTTTTCTGCCCGTCTGATAGAATTCGTTGCGTCTCTCTCGGGATCTCGATTTTCGCCGCGCTTGTGCCGTCTCCATGACGGCGCACATCTTGTACGATCACCGTCGAATTAGATCTTCCCGTGGCAGACAGATGCAAGCCAAGGACAAAAAAAATGAGAAAAGGAAGAATTAAGCAAAAAAAAAACAAGTACTGCGAAAAAACCCAACCCAACCACCGCAAACCACAAAGCACTCGCGCTAATTCTTTACGCTTTCCGCGCGAACATCTCATCGCTTCCGCCGTGACAATCCTCTCCTGCTTTTACTTAACGTTTAATTAATCCCCTCCACATTCATTATTTTACATTTCAACCCATCCATTAATTCAGCCAATCGGCGCCGGCCGTACCATTTCCATGCCGACTACCGCTGTTTACTCGCCAGAGTGCATCGGCAACGTGGGCAAAAAAGGCCCCGCCCACAACCCTATTTCACCTGTGCCTGTACACAAACTTACCGTTGCAGTCTCTCTCTCCCAGCCCTATAAGCGCTGGGAGTCTCTAAGCTCTAAGCCGCATTCATTGCATTCATTAAGGAAGCCCTTGGGAGATTGGCAAAGTTCAGCTTTCGCTCAGAGAGCCGCATTCAATATCTCTCCGCATAAAGCTAGCATATTCCTTCGCCGCCCGTTGATACCTCTCATTGTTGCAGCTGCGGTGTATGCATAGCCCGCCAACAACAACAACAACAAAATATTTCACGCCGTGTCTCTGGCAGTCAACTTAAAGTGAAATTCAGTGGCACCAGCCCACACCATTGGAGCTCCTCGCACACGTGCGCGCACCCACCGTGGCTTCTCACAGAGTGCTCGGCAGTGCGGCAGGCGTTAGCGATTTGTGTGTAAAATCCATACGCGTATTTAATTTCGCAAATTAGCTCCGTGCCACGAGAGTCGTCCGTAATTCCGCGTGATTGGTGACAATGGTGACAGCACTGCCCAGGAGACAATCTGAACTTGTGAACCTCAACTCCTCAATCAATGAATGCGTTCGGCTAAAGACGACGTTTTGTATCTTTTTCTTCGAAGGGAGACGCCGCATCTTCGGGGCGGAAATTTCAGAGAAATCGGCACCCATGCCACCAAAACGCGGCCAACCGCCACCACCGCCGCTGCCGCGTGCACGGATCGCACGTGTGGCTCGAGTCGGGCGCTCCACGTGAAAACGGCAAGGGGTTTTTTTTCTTCCTCTGACAAATCTGCTCATTCATTATCCTCCAGGAGCCGCTCTGCCCGGCGAGGTGTTAATATGGTAAAACTCTTGGCTTCTCAATAAAGCTGAGGCCGCGGAATAACTTTCCGTGGCCTCGTCACCTCCAAACTAACGGCGCATTAGCGCATATTGTGTATGGGCTCCTGCACAAATGTTGGAAGGTGATCACTCGTCGTTGAATTTAATAAAAAAATGTTTAAATCTCTCCGTGATTGGAGCCGCTCTGCTTCCGGGCACCGAGGTGACGCGTGGGAGCGTGCGCGCTGTTACGCGAGCACTCGCGTTTCGTGCGGCCAAATTAAGCCGGCAGTGGTTTCAGACGCTCACCGGCTCACCCGTCAACCCTCAGCCTGAACGTCATATAAACATCGCTCCTCAACTCGACAGCCTGGAACTCCAGGAAAGGAAATTGCTTTAGCTCTGCGTTACAGTGTAGAATCTCCCTCATTATCTACGTTGCTAATCATTCTTAGAATTATTACAAAGGATTTTTTTATTGTCAGCCGGAGGTTGAATTTTCCCGGTGATGGAACCACTTCAGCGACGGCGGCGACGCTCGCCCTGCTGCCTTCCCTCCCGCCGCCCGAGTGGTTAGCATTTCCTGCACTGTTTCATTATTTCAAGTCTAAGCCGGCCAGAAGAGTGGCCCTGTATCTCATATCCTGAAATAACGCATTGATATTCAAAGCGACCGATAATAAGATTCATTCCTTGCGCAATAACGTGCCAGATGCTATCGCTCGCATCTCAAGCTGGCATCAAACACTGATCCTTAATTTGTGGGATTGCAAGACGGCTGCAGGGAAGGTGTTCTTGAAAGGTATATATATAGTGGCTTTTTTGCTTCAATATACATTCAAATCCCGCACATCCAATGCATCAGCGATGCGACGACGCTCCTAATGCAACATTTGCAAAAATAAAAAAAAACTGGTAAAGCCACGTTGGTGTGGGAAGGGAAATATACCAAAAAAATACAAACCTCAACCCCGGCTGCTATTTTACACGACTATTAGCGCAACATCTGATGGTACGTTTCTTTAAAAAAAAACCCTAGAGAGAGAGAGAGAAGAGGAGCACGGAGGGAGGTATTGTTATGAAAGATGAAGGTAGGGATAAGGGCACGCCTCCAGCCTCTGCCGCTCTCAGCAACTGAAGAGGAGTGAATGTGGAGTGCGCCAGAGGAGATGGATTGGGCGGCCTGGGCGACTGGGGCAGCCGGGGCAGGCGAGGGCCGGGCGCTGATGCGCGACAGGGGGGGGGGGGCCGAGGCCACCGCCGCCGCCACCGCTACCGCAGAGCAACGCGCGCACGCCACCCAAGCCCCGTCGTCGTCGTCGCCACGGCGACCGCCGATCCCCCGGTGCTCTCTCGCGGCTTAGCGGGAGACGAGGAGAGCGAGCGGACGGACGGATGGACGCGTGCCGTCCCCTCGCGTGTTCCGGCGCACCGCCCCTGCTATCAACGCCCCCCCCCGCACCGCCCGCCCTCCCCACTCGAGACTCGTGGCTTGTTCCTCTCGGGTGCCTGACTCTGCACACCCCCCCCTCCCCCGCACACACAACGCCCCCACCACTACCCCCACCGCTCCCCCCCACAACGCCCCCTCCCGCACCATCCCGTGCACCCCGCATGACTGACGGACCGCCTGCCCATTCGCTCAACGCCCCCCCCCGCGCCCTCCCTGTGCAGACTGAACCCGCCCGCCCCCCCCCCCCCCAGTGCCCTCGCCCAAAAACTCCCCCTCCCATCCGCACCACCGCTCCCACCGCAGCCCACGCTCATAACACTCAGAGCCACGCGCGCACTCATAGCGCGAGCGCACACACACTCTCACTCACACACTCATCTCGCACGCACCCACCGCACGTACACGCGCGCACAAGACTTGGTGCGCGCACACTGCTCGTCACACGCAGGCAACGCAGTCGCGCGCAGCACTCGCACTCGCACGCACGCACTCTGAGCAGCCGCGATGCTCCCATCCTCCCACCCCTCTCTGCCCGAGCAGCATCATCGGGAGAGATGGCAGCCGACAGACGCTCCCCCTCGCCGATCAATCGCCGCCGCCGCCGCTCATCTGCGTTGCGCCGACCGCATTGGGAACACGCCACTGCGCTCGCTCGCTCCGCCTGTGTGCAGGAGGGCGCAGCGGTTTCTGCCAGGACAGCCGGCGAATCCAGCAGCCGCCTGGGTGAGTGGCTGTGCTGCCCTTCCCTGCCCCGCGCTGCCCCGTGCTGCCCCGCGCTGCCCCGCGCTGCCCCGCGCTGCCCCGCGCTGCCCCGTGCTGCCCCGTGCTGCGCTGCGCTGCTCTCGCTCTCTCTCTGCGCGGTGTGCGGTGCGGTGCGGTGCACCCACATTATTCTCCCGGCTCCGAGCGCCAGGAACTCGGGTGCCTGTAGTTGACGTGGTCAGACCGGACGGTTGCCACCTGCTCTGCTTGTCTTAAGCTCGCCTTGTTGTTCAGGCGGTCGCGCGTCCAGGGAAATCTGCTTCCCAGGATATAACGCAAAAAAAAATCACAGTTCTTGTCAGTTGTGCATAATAATAATACACCACTCAAGACGAAGCATTTACATATTGGTCTCCCCTCTGCTGGTATCGTGAGATGTCCATCTTCCCGTGATGCAAACGTCCCGGGTTTTTTTTTCGTATCTCAGGGGTGGCAACCCTATCAGAGGGGTCATCAGCAGCTTCCCACAGTTAATTTTACCCCGAGAGTAATTTTCTAAGAGGTGACATGGGCCGTGGCGTAACGCTGGCGGATAACGATCTCCCTCGTGGAAACGACGGCGTGGATGAATCATCAACGTTCACTTCGCTTTGGTGATCGTCGTTCCGCGGACAATCCCCAGCTTGGCGCCGATATTTAACGGCAGGGTTTTGCGCAGATGAGAGAATTGGCGGGCGTGTTCACCACCACTAACGCCGTTCCGTTGACAATTCCATATCCGTTTTTGTTTCATTGTCAATTTATTCTGGACACAAATTATTTTGCTGTAACGTTTTATTTTTTACGTAAAGTACATTTCCTCATTGCCCACACTCCCCCCCCTCATTTCCTCACGTCGTACGGCTGATGTTGATGGAGAGCAACAGCTGTAATTTTACATCGAGGTGGTTGAGCCAGATGATTGCGTCGGGAGTAAAGGAGTGGTGATTCATCGCTGTAATGATGCCTCCTCCTTCGTATTTGTGAATCAGGCACCGAGTCGGTCAATGTTCCGCGGTTCTGTGTGGGTGGTGACCATAGTCACAGAATGCTGTGGAGAGGTTTCCATTTTACGTTTGAGCATCAAGTATCCTCATCTGCTACCATGGTTATGGGCGGATGAGGTTTAAGGTTGATTTCCTCACTGTGCCATTACTAAGGAAGGCATAGGTCCGATTCCGACCCTGACGCCTGTATATTTGGAGTTTGCGTGTTCTCCCCGTGGCTCACGTGGATTTCTCTCCGGGTCGTCCGGTTTTACCCTCCACATTTAGAAGCAACATCACGGCTTTTGGAGTATTTGGCTGCTATACATTGCCACGCGACAAGCCACTTGTTTGAGCTATCATTTGTGGCCAGGTTTGCTTCTGAATAAAAGAGCTACGTAAAAATTACAAATACTCTCCACCTTTCTGCAAGTTAAATGTTTATTTTCGGCGGAAGGCGTCACTTGTGGACGCGGTGTTCTTAGACGCGATTATATTTAGATGCGCATGCATACACTGCAACTTGCAAAAGAAGCCCTGCAATTCACACTCAACCGTTCCCATATCAGCCGCTGTTGTAAAGTGCAAAAAAAAAACCAACACCAACAGCACACCGCCGTAACCGTCCATGGACAATGCTGAGGAGCGACCCCCGGGGAGGCAAAGCCTCCCCCGTCTCTGACGCTGAACTCACTCACGGACGCACGCACGCAGGCACGCGCGCGGCGTTCGCCCGTATGTTCACCCGTACGTTCACATCAATTTCCTTACAAAAGGCCGCTGCAAGATTTGGTTTTGTTTAACCCGGTTGAGAACACAAGGGACCGCGATGAAGAAGACTCGTTTGCGAAAGTCGACCTGTGGGTCAATAAAAATGAAAAACGACAAACAAATTAAATAAGACTATGATGATATGCCGTACTCCTTAACGCTGGCTGTAGGGTGACTCATTGTTGATCCACTAATTGAAGCCGATCATGGGTGACTCATTGTTGATCCACTAATTGAAGCCGATCATTGGGGGTGGTTTGACCATACTTCACCATGCTGGTCACGCAAGGGTTGGGAGAGGGGGGACATCACTCAAAACTGATGTTGGCCGTGGCCGGGAGTCTCACTCGTGTCGCCGGGTTCGTAAGCGCAGCACGTGAGCACGTGGGCCTCGGCTCCACCCCGATAACGACGACGATGGTGACGATGATAGACAATGAGAAGGGTTATAAGAGTGCAGGGAATTACCAACATTAATGCTACGTGTGTGCTCGTTATCACAGCGTGTCCAACCCATTGCTTTACTGGGCCAAGGTGCGCGTGCAAGAATAGAATGTACAGGCCCTCTATCAATCAATCCACTGAACGCCTCCCGAAGTCGTTCTGGCCATGGGGGTTGTTTGATGGTAGCTCACCACCCCGGCGAGTGCAGCTTGGTGAAGGAGGGAGCCAGGACTGGTTCGCACATCGCTCGGCCGTGTCTGAAAATCGCCGGGTTCAAAACAACTTCCCCGTCGTTGCACCCGAGAAAGGAGTCGTCAAATTTCATCACGAGCACGTTTGGTACGCGGGGATTCTGGGAGCGCAAGGCTGCGGAAAAGAGCTTTACAGCTCACCGGATTCCTCGAGTACAAATAAATATTCTGATTGTGAAGGCGCTATGTTTCACAGACAGGTTCCGCAGGAGGCGGACAACCGCGATGCGTTTCTCATTTGACAAATCCGCCGAGAGATTTCACATTTGGCCAAATTGTACCATTATGCTGGCACAGGCACGGCCAACCCTAAATTCAATGACGTCAAGGAATCTTTAAGATCCACTGTACAGCAGACGGCACTCGTGTAAGATGAATACACCGCAGTGTTATTAACCAGGGCGGCCGAGCCATTTGAACCGCGAATCTCTCGACCACGTCACCATCATCAACCATGGTCAGGAGTTGGCAACCTGCGGCTCTTTAAGGAGTCCTGCTTCGTGGCCGCTATTTATGAAGGACCGCCGTCTCTAATTCACGTGCACTGCGAATTCGCAAATAATGGCTCCTCTTTTTGTTTTGCCTGCCGACCCCTGGCCATGGTCAATCCCCTGCTGGATGAAGCCCTCCAAACAGCCGTCATCCAGCGCAATCTGCCGCGATTCCCACCTTGAAAAACTCCACGCGGCACCCGCACACCGGTTGAAATTCCACGCTCCATCTCCCGTGCGAACGCGTCCTCTCAGACGCCCTCCGAGGAAAGGAAACAGTCAAATTGTAAATTCCTCTTTTTTTTCCTCCCTCTCTTCTTTTCGCGTTGACCTCACGCGCGTCTAAACACGCGGTAGCGCGGGTCGCCCTGCGTGAGGCCGTCCTCACCACGCGTCCACTCCAAACCTCCATTTATTTATTTTTCCCTCATCAGGTGAGACAACCCAGGGCCCCATTCCCCCATCCCCCACCAACACCCATCATCAGCAACAAGGACTAAGAAGCCGGTTGCCATGGCAAACCCTTGTACCCCCCCCCCCCCCTCTCTCATCTCCCCTCTGTTCCCCAGCCTCTCCACACGATCCTCCGCCTCCTCCGCCTCCTCTACGCCCCTCCTACCCCCTGCGGGGTCCCCTCCAGCTCCAGGACGGGCGTTCCACGGCCCCCTGTTTCCACCCCTCCCCCCCACCCACCTCGGCCCCCCCCTGCCCCGCCATCAGAAGCCTCGGCCCTCTCACCACGGGGAGGGGGAGATAAGCGGCCAGCAGCTGATTAGCGGGATAACGGAGTGGAGGCGGCGACGGGGAGAAGGGGGCCCCCCGATAATTACTTTGAGCCTCTGAGGGTCGTGCGGTGGCGTGGTGGGATCGCAGCGTTGACCCTCGATAAGGAGAGAGATTCTCTGGCAGCGCAACCCAATAGCGGAGAACACAAAAATTTAATCTGCAAATTCAGATAAACAAGCGGGTATTAGAACATCCGTTTGGGATGTTTGACAGAGCCAATTTTCACTTGGTTTTTTTTTTTGGCTTCGGAGCACTAACCGCACGTAATCATTGTTGTGGTTGAGAAGAAGCAGGAATATCTTTTGCGCCAATTAAAAAATAAAGTAAACTTAATCAGTACAATAGCGAGTTATTTCACGAGCGTTAAATTTTTTTGTTTAAATATATCCGATACTTTGCGGTTGCAGAAATTGGGTGCAATTATTTTTTTTAATCTTTTGCCGCACTGTGCAACAAAAAAATCAGCTCGGTAATATCCCAGAAGTGTCACCTTGATACAAGCTATAATTTGGTTGCACGGCAGCAACTTTTTCAAACGCAAAGAGAACGCGTAACAATCAATGTTATTTTAAGCAACGGTTTGTGAAAACAATAATTATTCAGATTTGCGATGAATTAACGGCAATCACGAGCGGCAACGCCCGGGCGGTGAATTCCCCCCCCCCCCGGCACGTCGAGACCACCACAGACATTCGTTCCGTGCAAACGTCCATCACGGAGACGCGCCATCATCATCATTATCTACGTGACTTTACCCAAAGACCCAAAGAGCATTAAATATATCGTCGTGTTGATTCAAAGGTCACGTGTGCCCAATTCCCGTCGACCGAGATAGGCATCGTGGTGTGGCCGGCTCGTGCTTAATGGCTCAGGGTGCATTCAAATTTCCGTGAGGCTCGGCACGGGCACGCGCGCCGTGCCACGGACTCATCTTCCACCGCTTCGCCGGGCTCCGCTCCCCTTTGGCCGCATCGGCCCTGCCTCCTGGGCGGCTCCCGGCGCCGCAAGTCTCCTTGGCAAATTTAAAGTCAAGCGCTATATTGCACACGGACCCCACCACATCGGTCACGCTCTCGCGCCGGTGATAATCAAAAGTGACATTTCTGAATTGAAAATAATTTTTTGTGACCGCGGAGTATGACGAGAGCCAAGGCGGGCGGGCGGGCGGGCGGGCGGATGGGCGGGTGACCGGAGAGCCGGCCTGCCAGCAGCGCCGTCTCGCGGGCCGCAGATCGCGACACCAGCGACCAAAC